AAAAAGGAAGCAAAGGATGCCCCTGGACAGAACACCAGCGCAAAAGGGAAAGAGAAAGATGTCTCTTTCTGGTCAGTTTGAGGAGATTGAAGAGCACGCCAGAAGGGAAGCTCAGCAAGCTCAGGACGACGACATCAGTAGTTACCTGGAAGCTCAAGACGAGCCCCAGTACCTCACTCAGGAGTCCTTTTTGGAGTTCAAGGACGAGATGAGGATGTTCAGAAGAGAGCTTCTGAACAATATTCAGGAAGTTTTGGGACAGAGGACCCAAACCCAGCCAGCTAGAGCCGCGGAAACACTTCCTACGATGGTGCAGGAGGTGCCATTCAAACCAGAGCAGAACTTGAGGCATAGGGATGCAGATATCAAGTCAGAAGGCTCTCGGAGCACATTCTCTCATGAGGAAGAGAAGCAGGTGCTAAAGACTTTGAGGGAAGAAGTCCCTCGCTACCATGGTGGTAGCAACACTAATAAGCTGCTAGAGTTTGTGCGCAAACTTGAAGAGTACTTCAGCATAGCAGAACTGCCCCCCAGACTGGAACTGAAGGTTGCCACGTCAAAGCTGAAGGATTCTGCAGAGGTTTTTTGGGGGAACCACCTCACAGAGGTTGAGGAGGATGATCCAAGGCGAATCAGGACTTGGAGTCAGCTGCGGAAGGCTCTGCTTGAGCGCTTCACACCCCCAGATTACCAGAGGAAAACTCTGGAGAGACTTTTCGACATCTCTCAGGACACAGAGAACCTCACCATTGTCGAGTTTATTGACCAGTTCACCAATCTATCCATGCAAACAATGGTGCTGCATGACGAGGTGATGAAGGTATTATTCCTGCGAGGATTGCGCAAGGATTTGAGAGCCAGCATTGAGGCAAATCCATCGAACTTGGACAGCATGGAGACGCTCAAATTGGCTGTTTTGAGACTGGAATACATCAACAACCCACGGGTATTCAACCAGTCAAAGCAAGGGAAGAAAGCTCATGTCAATGCGGCTAAGACGAACCAATATGACGACCAGAAACAGTCCCACAACTCCCAGAGCTATGGAAAGGCGACCAACGGCACCAATGGCAAGAAGCAGACGATGCAGAAGACCTGTTTTACCTGTGGGAACCCAGGCCATCTTGCATACCAATGCGCCATGAAGGAGAAGAGCGGGTCGCAAACCACTGGAACAGCCAAGGGAGACAGTACAGCCAAGCTGGCTGTGGATAAACAAATGGATGGTCATCAGGACGATGCGAAAGCCATTGCTTTGATTAGCAGGAAGCTACCACAGCAATCTTACAGCAAGAAGGTCCAATTTATAGTTGATTCGGGCTGTAGCCAGCATATGAGTCCCCACAAAGAACTCTTTGTCAATCTGAGGCCCATTTCACGACAAATTGTGCTTGCAAATGACGAAGTTATCAATGCAGAAGGCATTGGTACTATCCCCCTGGAGTTGGAGACTCCAGGACAGCAACATCAACGGCAGGTGGTGTTGCAGGACGTCCTGTATGCCCCAGAGTTGGGCTGCAATCTTCTGTCTATCAGAGCCATTATTGACAATGGCATGGACGTCACCTTTTCGCAGTCTGGAGGAGTGGAATTCCATCTAGATAAGCGATTGTTTGCTGCAGGAAACAGGGAAGGGGAGCTTTACAAGCTTGCTGCTTACCCTGGCAGCGCGAGCTGTGACTCCCAAGTGATGGGAGCTGAAGTACAGCATGAAGACCAAGCTTTGGGTCGCCCTGAGAAGCAGGATGGCGGGAAACTGAAGCTGTGGCATCGGCGGTTAGGCCATTTAAGTTATGGCAATTTGAAGACGCTCACCAGTATGGTTGATGGTCTTAATTTTGATGGCAAAGCAGTGGTTGAAGACCAGCTTTGTGATGGATGTCAGAAGGGTAAACAAACACGATTGCCCTTTCCTGAATCACCCAAGAAGAGTTACCAGCTTTTGGAGGTCATATGTAGCGACATATGTGGACCAATACGCACCAAATCGCTTGGTGGAGCCAGATATGTGCTCACATTCTTGGATCTTGGAAGCAGATATAGCAAATGCTTCTATCTCGACTCGAAATCAGCGACGTTGTGCCTAGAAAAGTTCAAGGAATTTAAGGCCTGGATCGAGAATCTGACTGAAAGGACGATCAAGGCATTCAGAACTGATGGCGGCGGTGAGTTTGTGAACCACCAGTTTGATGCCTACCTCAAATCTGAGGGCATCACCCACCAAACTACGACGCGCTATACTCCCCAGCAGAATGGAGCTGCTGAGAGATTGAACAGGACTCTGGAGGATAAGGTTCGGTCTATTCTGCATGAGAATAACCTTCCCCAGAAGCTGTGGGCAGAAGTCTGGGAATCTGCCAATTATTTGAGGAATTTGAGCCCGACCAAGGCGCTGCTGGAGAGGAAGATTACCCCCTCTGAGGCCTTGACAGGGGCGCGCCCTAATGTAGAGCATCTGAGAGCAATTGGATGTGTCGCCTACATGCAAATACCGAAGCAACTACGAGGGAAACTGGATCCCACATCAGCAAAGTTGATTCTGGTTGGTTATGGGCAAAATTCACGATGTTATCGACTGTGGAATCCCCAGAATGACACCATCTTGGAGTCTAGGGATGTGGCATTTGATGAGACGGTTAAAGGGCAATCTGACGCATGCTCTGAACTGATGGGTTCACTTCTGGAAGAAGAAGAGCAGGAGTTCCCTGTGGAGGAGATCCTTGCTGAGGATAAACAAGGCGACGAGACATACTACCTTGTCAAATGGAAGGGTTACCCCAGAACTGAGAGTACTTGGGAGCCATTGGAGCATGTCAAGGACACTGTCACACTTGACCTCTGGGAACAGCAGCATTTCCCCAGTGATTTGGAAGGAGAAAACAACGATGTTGACGCCTTCCATGCACACCTAGGAACGCCTTCAGGACCCCCCACCACCACCACCACAGATCTGGAGATGCAGCAAGAAGGTTTCGGCCATGAAGACCCAAAAACACTTAATGGCGCGCTGCGATCACCCCAGAAAGAAGCCTGGATGCAAGCCATGGAGGCTGAATATGCATCACTGGTCGAAAATGGGACGTGGGAAATCATCCCCAGACCCTCTGGAAGGCCTGTAATTGGCAGCAAATGGGTCTATAAAACAAAGCGGAAGACTGACGGCACTGTAGAAAGGCACAAAGCGAGATTTGTAGCCAAAGGGTACAGTCAAATCCATGGATTGGACTATGATGAGACCTTTTCACCCGTCATCTCCTTCCCTGCTCTGTGACTGATCTTTGCCCTGGCAGCAAAGCATGGGCTTTTATTGGATCAAATGGATGTTGCAACAGCATTTCTGAATGGCGAGGTTGATTCAGAGCTGTATGTGGAGCAACCCCTAGGAATTTCAACAGAGCACCCACCAGACAAGTTTGTTTGCTTGTTGAAGAAGGGTCTCTACGGTTTGAAGCAAGCTGGAAGGCTATGGAACCATACCCTGCATGCGTACCTCCTCGAAAACAGCTTTAAACAGCTGGCGCACGAGCCTTGTGTTTACATTTGGCAAGGGGAAGAGGTTCAGGAAGCCAAACCACATGAGAAAGATGAGTGCGCAAACATAAACAAATGGCTCATCATACTGGCGGTTTATGTCGATGATCTGGTTATTGCAACCAAGTCAAAAGAAGACATGAATTGGGTCAAAACGACATTGTCAGCGCGATTTAAGATGCAGGATCTTGGCCCTATCCACCACATCTTGGGTTTAAGGGTAATCAGAGATGAACCGCGCAGCATTCTTTCCCTGGATCAAGCACATTACATTGGTGAAGTGCTCAGAAGATTCAAGATGGAAAACTCGAACCCAGTGTCGACCCCACTGGATACCTCTGTTCGATTTGAGGCTCTTGGGTCAAGGCAACCCATGGTAGATAAATCGAAGTACCGCAGTGCAATAGGCAGCTTGATGTTTGCTGCGATTGCCTCTAGGCCTGACATCAGTACAGCAGTTGGGATACTTGCTAGGCACTGTGAGGCGCCTGGAAACATGCACTGGACGGGCATAAAGAGGATATTTCGGTACCTGCAAAAGACAGCAAGCTACGGGCTTGTTTATCAGCAAAACAGCGACGATCTGGAAGCCTATTCCGATGCAGATTGGGGTGGAGACCTCTCAGATAGGAAGTCAACCTCAGGATGGCTTCTCAAGCTATCAGGCGGCGCTATTGCTTGGAAATCTTCAAAGCAGAGATGCACAGCACTCTCCACAGTTGAGGCAGAGTATATTGCGGCATCAGATTGTGCACGAGAGGTTATTTGGATGAGAAACCTCTTAGCAGAGCTCGGGTTTTTGGAAGTCAAACAAGGCCCTACTGTGCTCAAAATGGATAACAACGGCGCGATGGAACTGGCAAAGAACACCCTGATTTCACAACGGACGAAGCATATTGATATACGCTATCATTTCCTCAGGGAACACATCCAGAGTGGCGAGATTTCAGTTAGAAGATGCCCCACTCAACAGATGACTGCAGATGTTCTTACCAAGGCAATTCCTGCACCGAGGTTTGCCCAGTGTTGTGTAGAACTTGGCGTTCAATCACTGGATGACGCAACAAACAAAAGAGCCTAAGAATAGAATGGAATTTTGGGCGAGGGGAAGTGTTGGAATTAATTGATTGATTTCATCGAAGTTGCCATGGGACGGTAACTTGAATAACTTAGCGAGTTATTAACTTATCGACAAGACCAAGACGGTTCTAGAAAGCCCTGAATCCGCGCTACAAGCTTGTCGAAACACTTCGTTAGTTAGTTGCTTTATGCGCCCAAAATTAGAGGTCGAAGTCAGGTTGTCATCATGTGATCTGTACTATATTTAGGACCCCGTTTTTCTTTCTGTAATACAACTCTTTCGCTGCTCTTTCGACACAAAGTCCCCAGAGACGTTCTCTAGCGACGGCATAGCTTCTAACATGGCTATCCACCTCTCAGGTGCACCCAGTCTAGTTGTAGGATAACACCTATTTCTCGACTTTCCCCAACAGTACCATCATCGTGTACAGGCTATTAGTTGTAGCATTCATTGGCTGCTTCGTTGCCAGTGCTGTGTTAACAGCATTGTTGTTGTTAGTAACCGTTGTTGTCAATGAAGATAACGATTGACTAATTGGTGCAATATTGTCAATTACAAATTTCTGAGTTGCGGCTTCAATGCCAGCAATATAGAGCATTCCGCCAATATAGGCATCGGTCGAAACTCCAAGGCCTCCACTCACAACTAAATTACCTGAAGGGTCAAGTCTGAGAACATAACCTTTATCTTGGAATGAAGAGTACAGCCCAAACACTCCAGAAGGTAGGGTTCCATTCGATGAACCAGAAACATGGATGCCCCATGTCTGTGCAGTGCTAGTATTGCCTAGAGTAATAGCGGTAGCACTGGGGTTTGAATTTTGTGCCATTAAACCACTTAGATTGAGAGAACTTGATGGTGAAATCAAGGGTTGATATGCGCTGAGAATTTCATCTTTAGGTACAATCCTGAAAAAACCGCCATTTCCACCCATCAAAAAAGTTCCATCGGCCGGAGTTAGACTACTTATATTGTCAAGCAAAGGGGATAGGTTTTGTTTACCAGACAAACCTGTTGTTACAAAGGATTCCGTGGCAACTTTGTTCGCATTGGTGTAAATACTTCCACCAACGTACAAATCCTTTGCTATACCGACACCACCAGGACAAACTAGGGCACCTGTTGTCGAAGAGGTTGATACGGTCGATGCATCCAGTGTAACGTTTCCAGTTGTTGCTGCAATATTGATTCCACGTGCGCCTTGTGATTGCAACCGAAGAAGACCATCGTCGTTCCTGAGTGTCATGCTTCGAGCCCCTCCATCCACGGTTCTCGAAGAGCCATTTAGAAAAAGAACACCTGAATTGGCTGAACCATTGTTTAGAAACAGAATTGGACATGCATTATTCCCGCCGCTGCTGTTCCTTATAACAAGGCTCCTCAGACCATTTACAGGTGAGTTCCCCACTGTCATATCCCCTTCAGTGGTTAGATTTTTCCCAAATGTAGCAGACCCATCTGTGTCAATTCAAAGCCCTAATGAGGGCGCACTCGAAGTTCGAGAATATATGTACATAGGCAAATCCTGGGCACCGAGCCATGTTGCAGCACCGTTGTTGTATCCTAAGAATCCCGTTCCATCAAGACCAAGCCATGAACTCTTAGTTCCATCGAATGTAGAATATGTCATGACCGATGAAGTGCCTGTCGAAGCCGGAGCAATACTCAATCTGGTTCCGGTGATTACTTTACCACCGATATTGCCTCCAAATGTAACATTGTTTGACGTCAAATTCGTAATCTGTGTTCCTACCCATGGTTTAATAACCTCGGTATCATAATCCCGTAGCATCGAGAGGTTAATCGCTTGTTGGGGGTGCTCATATTTGATGGTACGATAGCAACTTGGTACATCAAATAGTAATCGAGTGCAGCCTCCAATCGGGTCCGAAGCAATTGCAACATTGCTTCCAGGCTCTAAAGGCGGCATGAAGGTAACAGGGTCGATTGGTTCGTATACAGGGTTACCTTCACTATCGAGCACAGGTTGCCCTTCTGAATCTCTTTGTACTTTTCGTTCTCTCTGACCACCGAAAATCATTCCCCAAGGAAACGTTGAGACGATTGGGAGGATGGAGTTTACAGCCATGGGAACTGTTAACGGTGGCGATACCATTGCTGGAAAGGGTATTGTTGTCAGAGGGGTTGTGCCAGAGAGGATAACCACATTTCCACCAGGAACATCCATTTTTAACACTTCAGCTGTGTCAGTCTGTTCAGTATTATCGGTATCCCTTTGTTTGGACAATGGTGTAGGGTCGATGAGGGTAAAGTTATATAGCGGATAACTTCCTGTGATAATCAAGTTGGGTGAATTGGATACAAACTGCGGTGGTATTAAATTGTATGAAATCTGGTTCCCAAGAATCAAGACACTTCCGTAAGAATTTGTCGAACCAATGTAATTTCCCTTCAAGGTATCACCCACATGAAGAACGGTATCGCTTCCGGAAAGGGAACATGAAATCAAGTCTCCGGAAACACTGACACCGTTTATTCCACGTAAGTTTGCAGATAAAACGGCACCATTTTTCTGAAGCCCAATCCCAGCGCTGATATTGGAACTTAAGACTCCATTGTTGAGAGTTAAATCAGGAGACTGTGCTGTTAAGGATAATCTGAAATCACTGCCAACCCGTGTTATTCCTTGGGATGCTGTGAATATATCACGGATTGTATCACGACCTGACATTGCAAGCCCTGAATTCGCATCACATTTCAAACTCAATTGTATATCGTTCTGCAATCTCTCAATTCCATTGCTACATGTCAGTACATCTTTTATCGTATCTGCTTTGACCATTTGGAGACAACTACCAGCCTCGGCTTTTAACGATAGTACCACATCGTTAGTTGTACCAGGTCTAATAGCAACTCCATTAAAATCCTGAAAAATCAGTCCTGAAACAAGTTGATTACCAATGATGCATATGGTCTGGTTATCAACCAAAACCCCAATCTCGCGCCGTCCACTAAACTCGGGGCCGATAGCAATTGCACCTGTTTGACTGCCTTGATAATACTGACTCAAGTAGTCCTTGGACACAGCATACGAGCCTCCACCGATTGCTGGTAATGTACCGCTCAATTTCACGTTAGGCACTCGTAACTCCTGTAGCGTTGTCGAATAGGTGAATGAAGGACTCCCACTGTATCCATAAGTCATGTTACCATACAGTATCTGCTCGTATCCTGGACTCTTCAAAGACAACTTGGAACCGGCTTGACTGAATGTAGAAGTGTCGGTCATGAGTCGAATGGCAGTCGTATCTACCTCCCCTAAGACGTCTGTGAGTTCAGTCAGAGATGAGAAGCCGAAATCAAGCCAACTGCTTCCGATGTCAAGGATACTGTCTGCTCCAGACGATGTCTTTATTGCCCCAAAAGCCTTGAATAGTTGACTTGTATTTGTTTCGAGTTCATCTGAACTGTTCACCTTCAAACTCTTGTGAAGTTTGACACCGATTCCATTGTCACGATATAGTGGTTTCTTCAGCGTCTCTGGCGGTGGAGGGTCAGGAAAGTTGACAGAGAGTCCGTTTTCGTTTATGATAAAACTATCATCTGCCAGTAAACCAATAGTCCTTGTATCTGCATCATGATATAATGGAAACTCGTAATTCAAAGGAACAACTGTCAATTTTCCATTATCCACTTTCAATTCATCATCATCAATTTGTATA